TTTATTGCAGTCACACACTGTCTCGACATTTTCAGTGCAGTCCAAAGCGGAGTTACGCCCTTCTGTGGCTATTGACTTCACTGGACTTAGCAGGGTGTAATTCTGTTTGGGATTGCACTGTAGGTCACATCTGTCACCTCTGTCAGTGTTACGCCCAGAACTGCACACAGTATTCCAAATGAGGTCTCACCATTGATTTATATAGGGGCATTATGATATTGGCTGATCTGTTTTCAATACCCTTCCTAATAATCCCCAGCATAGCATTGGCCTTCTTTATTGCAGTCACACACTGTCTCGACATTTTCAGTGCAGTCCAAAGCGGAGTTACGCCCTTCTGTGGCTATTGACTTCACTGGACTTAGCAGGGTGTAATTCTGTTTGGGATTGCACTGTAGGTCACATCTGTCACCTCTGTCAGTGTTACTTCTAGATGGGTAGCCGTGTTAGTCTGTCTGTAGCAGCAGAAATTTATGTGTAGCAGGCTCACACAGGCACTGGAGGGGCGACCTTTTCTTGCTTACAGACAGCCTGCTAACCTAAAGCAACTTCTCACGCACAATGACAAAACTACTTAACAGTACCAAGGCCTGCAACAAATGAAGATGTCAACTTTGCTCTCACATAGATCCTGGCAACACCATCACTGGACCCAGCGACATCAGCCAGACCATCTCAGGTTCATTCTCCTACTCATCCTCTAGTGTGATTTATGCCGTCACGTGTCAACAATGCTCTTCCACCGTCTGTGTTGGACAAACAGGCCAGTCCCTTTGACAAAGAATTAATGGACTTAAGTGTGACATCAGAAACCACAACATTCAAAAACCACTGGGGGGAACAGTGTAACCTCCCAGGACATTCAGTTGCTGACCTAAAAGTATCTTACAGAGGAATTTCAAAGGAATATTAGAAAGAGAGACTGCTGAATTGCAACTGATAATGAAGCTCAAGACAATGCATCCACCTGGACTGAATCAAGACCTTGGCTTCCTGTCTCATTACCAATGCTGATTTCTCCATGCCTACTACCTCTCTGCATTTCACACCTAATCCAATCACATCTGCTATTGTCATTTCCCTGCTAATGTCATTCAGCATCTGAAATCACTCCACTTCCCAATATATATATAGGAAAGATGGACTCACATTCTAGCTGTATCTGAAGAAGTGAGCAGTGACTCACAAATTTTGTCAACCTTTAAAGTGCTACTTGACTCTTGCTCTCTTCTACTGTAACTCCTGTTTTGGGGGAATTAGTCTGAGGGGAACTGGCTGGCCCCAAACCATGTCTCGCAAACTTAAAGCCGGGCAGGAATTTGAACAGAAGCCTCTCAGAAGTATGTCTGGGCAGGCCCGTCTCCCTCTCTTCCTTCTCTAGCATCCCTAATAGTAACACGTTGGGCCTCATGTGTGTTTGTACCGGATATCCTCGGTCATTGGCCTGCTCCGTTTCTGGTCTGCAGAACCCAGCAAGACCACCAGCAGCCCACATCTCTTGTTCTGCAGCAGCCATGGGGATGTTTTTGGCATGGCGCAAACTGATGTGCTTGAGTGGTTGAGCGGATGCGTGCCTCACAGGCAGCACCGCGAGACCGGCTAAAGGCTCGCCTCCAGGATTCCCCTCTCTTCTCCTTTCCGCGTCAGTTCAGCAGTCCCACCCTCCTGCTGTCGGCCTCCTTACACACTCGCCCAGCTACAGAGAGTTGGCCGTGGGCCCATTGTCCTAGCGGCAGAGCACAGGTGCCAGCTCCCCCAAAACGGTAACGTTCACTGCGGAGTCGGCTGCCAAGCCACTCACAGGAGCATAACGGGTATCCAGCAGGGGTGAGCTGCCTTTGGCCTCTCTCCCTTCGGCTGCGGATGAATCTGCTAGGAGCCCCTTGCTGGCAACGCACTCGGCCCTCCGCCAGGCTGGTGGCAAATGTGGCCCCCTCCCGTGCACCCTGGGGAATTGTGGGTGGGAGGAGGGAGTGCAGGAAAGAGGCTCAGCCTCCCTCTCCACGGGAGGGAGCAGAAGCGAGAGCAGGGGGCTCTCTCTGTCACAGGCCCCCCCCCCACAGTCTCTCACCCACACCTTGTGTGCCCCAGGCAGGAAATGCCTCCGTCGGCTCTTGGGAGAAGGGAGGGGAGCTTATCTGCTGCTCTCTACAAGCAGCTTCTAACGTTTGAGAGGGTTGACAACCTTGCAAGGGCAAATTTGGGGGGGGGGAGGCTATTGGATGCCTGTCTTGAGACAGACCCGGAGCCGATCAGCCCCTGGCTTCTGCTGCAGCTGGAAGGCAGTGCAGGAAAGAGGTCTCCTCCAGTGTTCCCTCTAAGCTGAGTCAGTGTGAGCCAGCTCACAGTTTTTTAGCCTCCGGCTTACACATTTTTGCCTTAGCTCGGGAAGGAGGGCTCCAGAGCAAATTAATTTATGCAGTAGCCAAATTTGCTCACTCACCACTTTAATGCCAGTAGCTCACAAAGTAGAATTTTTGCTCACAAGACTCCACAGCTTAGAGGGGACATTGGTCTCCTCCATCCTGTTTGGGAGAAGTGATGCTTCTGGATTCCCGTCCATACATTCCCCCCCTGCCCCCGCCCCTGCCCCTGGCTTTCCTCTGACGGAGCCGGCTCTCCAGGCCCGTGCCGTAGCTTTCTCTCACGTGCTGCTTCATAGCAGTGGGCGCTCTGGTTGCCTCCCGAAGAAGCATTCAGGATCTCCATCCCTAGATTCCCCTGCAGTTGGCCCATTTGTGCTGCTTCAGCAGTGAACAGCCCCTATTGTGTGTCCGACTGCGAAGAGGTTCCAACATCAACAAAGCCTGCGTTATGAAAGCAGCGGTGGTGGAGTCTGAGCTTCCTTGCACAAGGGAAAGACTGTGCGCTCTCTCTCGAAAGAGCCTCTGATTGAGAGCTGGCTGTCGGCCACTTGGGTGGGGGACGGAGGAGATTTCGGTGTCTTTAAAACTGCCCTGAAGCACTTTCCCTTTTTCCTAAACCTTGGAGCCACTGTGATTTGTTGCGGAGGCTTTGAAAATGACACCAAAGTTAGGTTAGATGGGCAGGCAAGCTTAAAAAGTCAAGGAAAGGAAACTGGTCCACTTCTGCCTCGTGCACCTGAGGCTCTCTAGGAAGTCGTTAAGAACATAAGAGACGCCAATGTTGGATCAGGCCAAAGGCCCATCCCGTCCAACACTCTGTGTCACACAGTGGCCAGAAATACCAGGGGCCATCAGGAGGTCCACCAGTGGGGCCAGGACACTAGGAGCCCTCCCCCAAGCACCAAGGAGACAGAGCATCCCTTGCCCCAGAGTCCCTATCTATACCTTGTGGCTCATAGCCACTGATGGACCTCTGCTCCATATGCTTATCTAATTCCCTTTTGAAGCCGTCCATGCTTGTAGCCGCCACCACCTCCTGAGCCTGTGTGATCTGAGTGCCAGCCTTGGTGCCCAGACCATGCCCAGTCCCCACTTATTTAATTTCTTTCTCAAGAAAAGAAATCGTTGGTGTTTTGACCGGGAAGAGTCCATTGAGGTGAACATACAGTCCAGCCCTATGTGATCTCAACGTCATCTGTTTTCTTTTACAGTGGGGATGGCTTCTAATTAGGATCACCACTATTTATTTTTTGTATTCTATATAGTCTCTCTGTCTTACCGATACTCAAGGTGGATTACACAAATGTGGGTCAAACGCACTAAACAAGAAGGGACATCCAGTAGACCTCGGCAGCGTGGCTGGCCTGAATTGCGTTGGCACGTCTGTGGAATCTTTATGAGACAAGATCATTCCAGCTACTAAAGGGAAACCAAATATGTCTCTCTGGCATTTAATCACTCCAATATTAAAACCAACAAACAAAACTGCAACTCCCATATCACCAACTACCCAGGAGAAGCACTACCCAGGAGAATCTTTACAGGAAGCACAATCTCAAACCGGAAGTCTGGGTTTTGAAATCAATCTCGAGCAAACCCCAAAATGGGACCTGTTACCTACTATGATTAAAGCGAAGAAGAAGAAGACGAAGAAGAAGAAGAAGAGGAGGAGGAGATTGTTTTACCCCGCCCTTCACTTGGAGTCTCAGAGCGGCTTACAAACTCCTCTCCCTTCCCCTCCCCACAACAGACACCCTGTGAGGTCGGTGGGGCTGAGAGAGCTGTGACGCAAACTGCTCTTTTTCAAGAATGGCTGTGCCAGATCTTGTGACTGACCCAAGGTCACATCAGCAGGAGCAAGTGGAGGAGTGGGGAATCAAACCCGGTTCTCCCAGATTAGAGTCCGCGCACTTAACCACTACACCAAACTGGGGAGGTCTCCTGGCCTTGTTGCGTTCTGTGCTGAATTTTTGAAGATAGCCCCTGACTGGTGGGCCCAAGTGCTTGCACCCTTATTGGTAAATCAGAATGGAATTATGTGAGATATTTGGGAGACATCATTGAGTACACCTATATATAAAAAAGGAGAAAAAAATGATCCAAACCATTATTGTCCAATCAGTCTTCTGGCAGTAATCGGTAAGCTGTATGCATCGCTCTTGCAAAAAAACCCCTGCTACACTGGATAGATAATGAGAAAGTAATGGGCGATGAGCCAGCAGGCTGCAGAAAGGGTCGCTCTTGCGTGGACCATTGTTTTATGCTGGCCTCATTGATAAGCAAATCCGTGTTAGACGCACGTGGTTCCTTATATGCAGCATTTATTGATTTAAGGGCTGCCTTTGATTCCGCGTCTCATGCATGACTATGGAACAGGCTAAATTCTGCGTGTCTACCCAGGAGGTTGCTAAAACTAATTATGAACCTTTATTCTGAAAACTCATTATGCGTTAAATTAAACAATTTGGGATTTGTATTAAATCCAACACTTGTCCAAAGAGGTGTCCATCAGGGCTGTGTCCTTGCATCTAATCTATTTAATCTGTATTTAAATGGCTTTGTCTCAAGCTTACAAGGCATTTCCACCCATGCACCATGCCTAGGAAATTGCCCAGTACCTGCCTTGTTATATGCTGATGGCCTTTTCTTGCTCTCTAGGACCCAGACCAGTCTAAAGCACGCTATGAAAGCATTTATCACCTGCTCTAATAGCGAACTTTTGGAGATAGATGAAAATAAATCTAAGATCATGTGTTTACAAAATCAACAAAAGGATTAAACAAAAGATGGAAAGTTGGTGCGTATAAATTACAAGTGATCAGTGAATTTAGATACCTAGGAATTGTGTTCCAGTCCAATTTTATCTTGATTTAAACATATTCAATACCTTAAGCAGAAAACGTCTTAGCTCTGTTGGCTTTAAGGAAGTTTTTCTTCATTCAAGGAGCTCAGTATATGTCAGCACTTTTGAAGGCATTTAAGGCACTTGTTGTTACCACACCTGCTTTATGGTTCTCAGATTTGGTTCCTGGGCCCAATAGAACTACTTGATAAACTTCAGATGACCTTCTTTTGTAAAATACTTGCTTTACCATCATGTATAGCTTCCTCAGTCACACAACTCGAACTGGGCCTCCCAAACATTTCAACATTAATTTGGAAAGATATAGTCAGCTGGAGGTTTGCCACTTCTCCAGGTGGAAGCCCAAGTCCCCTGCTAAAGTTCTTTCTTTATGGAAGAACTTTTGGTTGTTTTTAAGTCCAATATTAAGGTGAAAGAGTATCTGGACGCTCAGAGCTCAAAGTCCCTGCGTCCTCTCTCGTCGAAACCGGAAGCTCCCTCCCTCAGACTGTTAAATTCTGAAGATCTTCCAGCTTTCACCACGTCAGCATCCCATGAGCGCTGTTGGGCAAAATGGTGCAGAACTGTGGATATGAAAATTAACCAATTGGGCTTACAAAAGTTAAACAATCTAACAGAAAGAAGACGAGCATTGCTTATAGAGAAACTGTTTAAACAGGACTGGGACTTCCTCTATAAAGATGCTAGACGGAAATGTTCTCCACTTCATCTGGGAATTAAGCATCCAACCCAATTTGACCCGCCTCACTGTCTCAATATGCTGGTAGTTCCAAAACTGAGGCGGTCATATATGACCACATGCTATGATGTGCTACCAACAGCTTGGATGAAGGATCGTTTCCTCAAGACACCTTCAGATCAGCGCTTTTGTGAATGCCCTTTGACAGTGGTTGATTCATTGTCCCATATCTTTTTCTACTGTCCAAAGTATGCAGCAGCCAGAGATTTCTTGGAAAATGGCTATTAAAGTACTCTGCCACTCCTGATACCTCAAGACTAAGATTACTTCTGAGTAGCCTCTGTATAAACTGTATTGTGGACATAGCAAACCTCTGTTTGATTGCGATTTCTGATTCTTAATTTTTTTGTTTTATAGTGTGTGGTCTGTGTGCTGTTGAATAAACTTGAAACTTGAATTGCACTGGCACTGAGAAGAATAAAGCTAAGATAGACAGCTGCCCTGAACTTCTCAAGAAGCCTATACAAGGGGTGTTCTAAGAACACTGCAAACTGGAGAAACTATGGGCCAAAACCAGAGATATTATCAAGGAAGAATGTGCAAAGACTATTCCTGTAACCAAAAGAAATGAAAACCCTCGATGGATGACTGATGAAACTCTTAAAATTGTGAAAGACAGATGAGAAGCAAAAGGTGACAGAAATAGATTTTGAAGAAGAACCTACAGTTTTAGAAAGTGAAGTGAAATTGCGTGGAGAGCAATTGGGATAAACAAATCACCAGGAGTAGATGGGATAGCAATAGAGCTATTACAAGCCATGGGAATGGAGTCTATCAAAGTCTTAACAAATATGGAAAACAAAACAATATGGAAACAAATATGGAACATATATGGAACAACAAATATGGAAAACAAAACAATGGCCTACAGACTGGAAAGGCTCAATCTGCATTCCAATTCAATCTGCATTTCAAGTCATTTCAAAATGTAGGGAGAGTTCAGGCTTGATTTGATCTACAAACTACTTATTTGTCTTTTTGGTGGGAAGGAAGAGGACTTGGATTTATACCGTGCCCTTCACTCAGAGTCTCAGAGCAGCTTACAGTCACCTTCCCTTCCACGCCCCAAAACAGACATCCTGTGAGGTAGGTGGGGCTCAGTGAGCTCTGAGAGAACAGCTCTGAGAGAATTGTGACTGACCCTGTCGGATGTTTAATATCCAGCTGTCAGATCATGGTGATCTATGTGTCAGCAGGCAAGCTGCTGGAAACTGATCCTGACCGGTTAAGACCTGATAAGGCATGAGGTCAGTGACAATGAGTCAGCACTTAGCTGATTGGACGCTGTATGTATATAACTGGACAAGTGCAGCCCTGTTCATTCTCTTCTCGTGTAATGGTGATTGGCGGAGCACTTTGTCAGCGGACTGTAAGTATTGTAAATAAATTCTGTATATCGTTTACCACAGGACTGTCTTGTGTGGTGCTATACAGAGCTTACTCTGAAATTGAGTGCTGGTGAGTGGCTGGTGAGTTGGAGTGGCTGAAATAGTCCTGGTGGCTGACTACTGCTGGCTAGAAGCAGACACGCTGTGCTACACGCAACGCACAATAGACCCATGGTCACCCAGCTGATTGCATGTAGAGGAGTGGGAAACCAAACCAGGTTCTCCAGATTACAGTCCGCCACTCTTAATCACTACACCAAACTGGCTCTCCATAAAGCCCTCCTCCAACACCACATTTCAAAGGAATCAATTTTCTTCCAGTCAAATTTCTTCATTGTTTAACTTTCACACTTGGGCCTAAATAAAATAAATCCTTGTTTGAAACATTTCCCCACATTCTGTTCTAACAGTAGCCTCTTTTCCAGAGGTACGAGCTTGCCTAAGCAGCCTCTGTAGTGGACTGCGATAAATGTATTCATTTTATTTAGGTGTATCAAGACAGTAGATTCTGAAGGTGCTAGACGAGTAAGGAAAGCACAACAAACAAGCCAAGCCCAAGCAAAGTGGGACAATATCTTCTTGTCGTTCAGTCGTACAGCTGAGTCCGATTCTTCGCGACCCAAGTCAAATCCTTGCTGTTTATACCCCTAATGTGTGACAGCTTATTTGGGCAAACAATGGCAAGAGGCTGATTTGGTTGTTCTTTTTCCCTTGCTTTCTTTCCAGGGCTGGAAGTGGCACACACCGTCTTGCTATTGGCTAGGAGATGAGCACATCAAGTACGCAGAAGCTCGGAAGATATGCATGGACTATGGGGCTACTCTGCTCACCATCACGAACAGGTGTGTGCGGAACCCACGGAGCGACAGGACCCCCTGCTGTTCTGTTGAGAGTCCTTGGTAGCAAAACTGTGCTGGGCACTTGGCCTTTTTGTTGTCTTTGGGGGGAGCAGGGCCCCACCCCCGATACAAAATGCTGGCTGGGGGATGTGGTGAGGTGGTGATTCACGACATCCTTTTCTTTTCCTGGACAAGGTTCGAACAGGCCTACGTGAACAGTCTCATTTACAGCTGGGAGGATGAGTATTTCTGGACTGCGCTGCAGGACATAAACGAAACGGGGTCTTTCCATTGGCTGAGTGGGGATGAAGTCACGTACACCCACTGGAATCGTAATCAACCAGGTAAAAACCATTCATGTCTGTGCCTAAGATTGGTTGAGACCTTCGGGTGAGGAGGTGTTTCCTGCTGTCACAGCTAGGAGGACATCCTGCCTCTCCTCCTTTTAGGGTCGCCCACTCCAGGTTGGGAAATTCCCGAAGATTTGGAGTGTGGCCTATGAGAGGAGGGAATTCTGCGGGGTATAAACACACTGTTGTATGGCCCCGCCTGGAGGCTGGCAATGCTGTCTTCTTTCCAGTTGTGTTTTACCCAGCAGAGTGTGGTTTGTCTTTGCTGGTACATTTGCTTGCTGCTTGTGGGTTCTGGGGGTTAAGTAATTTTGGGTGTGTGTGTGTGCATGCTGCTGGGCAGATAGATGTGTCTCACAGGGGCGGGTTGGCTTAGATATGCTTCCCACTCTAGTTCTGCACCTTTCAGTCATCTCTACAGATGCAGACTTCCGAAGGGATCTGCTCCTTGCATCGAACCAGGAAGGAAGGAGTCCTCTGGTATCTTTCAAGACAAATGCAGTTCTGGTGGTAGCAGAGGGCTTTCAGAGGCAGGGGACTTGCTTCTGCATTCTCTGTAAGCTTTCACAGGTAGAGACAGCACGGCAGCACGTGCAAGGGGTCCTCTTTCACCTTTGGCCACTCCTTCAGCCACAAAGGGCTCGGAGAAGGAATGACAGACAGGCGGAAAAGGAGGCAACAGAGAAAGAAATGCATCCAACGAGAGGGAAGATTGTAGATTCTAGGTCAGAAGAACATAAAGACGTTAAAGGACGGAAAGATTCAAGGAAGTAATAATGTATAATATGGCTGTTAGAAGAGAAAGTAGGAGAGGAGTTTATGAAGGTGGAAATGAGGCGGGAGTAATGGATTTAGAAGACAGGCAGACTGCTCGGTGTTGGACCAGGATGTGGGAAGCCCAGGTCAGATCCCTGTTACGCCACGGAAGCTCAGTGGGAGACTTTGGGCCTGTTGCTCTCTCTCAGCCTCACCCACTTTGCAGGGTGGTTACTGTGAGGTAAGTAAGACTGCAAGAAGATCAAACCAGACAATCCTAAAAGAAATCAACCCTGACTGTTCCCTGGAAGGCCAGATAATGAAACTGAAGCTCCAATAATTTGGCCACCCAATGAGAAGGGAGCACTCACTGGAGAAGAAGACCCTGATGCTGGGAAAGATTGAAGGTCAAAGAAGACGGGGACGGCAAAGGATGAGATGGTCAGACAGTGTCATAGATGCAACGAACATGAAGTTGAGCAAACTTCAGAGGACGGCGGAAGACCGGAAGGCCTGGCGGGATCTGGTCCATGGGGTCGCGAAGAGTTGGACTCGACTGTGCAACTGAACAACAACCACAACAAGTAAGATGGAGGGAAGGAGAAAACTGCCTGTGCTCTTCTGAGCTCCGTGGAACAAGGACAGGATAAGAAAGTACAAATAGAAATAGAACAAGTACAAAGTACAGCTGGAATGAATAGAAGTTGATAACTTGATTATTGTTAGAGGGATTATTTACAGGACTGATTGGTTTACTTTACTCTAAACAAAGTATTTCAACTCAAACAAACTGATTAATTCTGAGGGGTTAGAAACAGGAAAGCATCAAGGGATTTAAAAAAAAAAACCTGAGAACATAATTTCTTGGGCTTTAGTGTGGAAGAATCCAGGTGCAACTATAGATGGTAATGAAGTAAAGTTTCTCTCTGTTAACATACTTATAATGCTGCAAAAAAGAAATATGACATTTCTTATAGATAAAAAGTTAAATAGATTGATTGCAGGATACAAGTGGAGAATATATAATACAAGAACGTGTGAAGCAGAAGAAATGTATTAAAATGTTGAAAGAAAACAGAGCTATTGCTAACCATTCAAGTCAGTTTTATTATTTATTTGTTTTTTAAAGTATCCTGCTGTTCCATACACTTGAGGTGGCCAGCAATCAGTTCATTAAAAATACCACTGCCTTAAAACAGAATTTTAAAAAGGCAAAACCACAGCCAGTTTCTATCAGTCTACAAACTGCTAAGACAGGATTGTTGGTCAACAAAAAGACGTCCTCTGAAGGACTGCTTGTGCTTTCTGCTGCCTCCGGGTGGGTAGCGAAGAAGGTGCCCTCCGGTCTTCTTCTGGAAGCCCGTTCCGGAGCGTGAGGGCCGTGTGCCCAACTGTGGTGTCTGGCTGCAAAAGTTTCCATGGTGGGAGCAGATGGGCCTACTAGAAGCAGCTGTTGCGAGGACCTCACAGGGCGTGTGGTTCTGTTCAGGGGAATGCAGTACTTCAAATACAAGGGTCCCAGTTTGTGAAGGGCTTTGTGGGCAATCATCAGCACCTTACATCGACCCTACAAGCTAGTAGGAAGTCAGAGATGTTGTTTCCAGATGGGCATAGTGTGCCGATGGTGGCTCATGGTGCTTCATAAATGGGCTGCAGCATTTTTCACTGATTGAAGGTCAAAAGAAGACGGGGATGGCAAAGGATGAGATGGTCAGACAGTGTCATAGATGCAACGAACATGAAGTTGAGGCAACTTCAGAGGACGGTGGAAGACCGGAAGGCCTGGCGTGATCTGGTCCATGGGGTTGTGAAGAGTCGGGCTCGACTGTGCGACTGAACAACAACAACAAATTTTTCACTCATTGACATTTCCACATTACTTTCAGAGCAGCTCCAGATAGAGCACGTTATAGTAATCAATGAAAGTGCCCTGACAGCCTGTAGAATCGGGTGGGTTGTCAGGTGGGTCTGAAGCAGGGGAACAGAGTTCGAGTCCCGAGTGGCACCTTTAAGACCAACCAAGTTTTATTCTGGGTAGCAGCTTTTGTGTGCGCTGTGTTGGTCCTAGAGGTGCCCTGGACTCAGACTTTGTTCTGTCGCTTGAGATTTTCAGTGTATCTGAAGAAGTGGGTGTGTACACAAAAGCTTATACCCCGAATAAAACTTGGTCGGTCTTAAAAGTACCCCTGGACTCAAACTTTCTTCTGCTGCTTGAGGCCAACATGGCGACCCACCAGAGCCTATCTTCATGACCAACGTCATCCATGCCTTGCAAGGATTTAACT